ATTTCTTAAAGAAACACCATTCGCAACCTTATTGCCATCGTTTTAAAATGCAAACAAGCATTTTAAAGCATTAACTCGCAACCGTATTAAATAATAAACTCACTCGATGCGTCGGCATAAACACCACCACATCATTTTTAAACATCTCTTTAATCCGTTCCAATTGCGCTATGTTCACGAAGACACCGTCAAAGAGTTTCTGAATTCCGTTAACTCATTACAACAATAATAATAATAATAATAATAATAATAACAAAACTAAATCCACCTTCACAACAGATACAATGCCATAGCCGATGCAACGCATCGCAGGTAAATGCATCCGATGGGTCATCTCTTCTAAAATGCGCCGCGCCTCTGACAAAACCATTTTCTCATCCTTCAAACCACGTGCTTCTGATTCTGTGCTGATTGTTTCCTGAATTAATTAATCTGCTTTTCTCAACAACACTTTCACTAAACTTCAATCATACTAACCTAACTTTAACTCTTAGTCATAATAATAATAACAATCCTAAAGTAACATTACAAACGTTTCATGACAGCCTCATTGCCATCTAGGTAATCCAGGTAAAGTAATAATAATAATACCTTAACTCGTTTCGAGTTCAACACTTCAATGATGATTTCGTGCACACTTGGTTTAGGCACCAGCATGTAATTGTTACAATCCACTTTTTTCAGTCGTTTCTCATTCACGGTAAAGTGTTTGCGTCTACTCACCCAGGCCAACCCCCCACCCACCTCATCTACCTTGGCCAACCAATCCACATATACCGCTCCTCCTGCCGAATCACTGCCCCGTTTCATCTGATCGCCTTTTCCATTCACTTCACTATTATCAATTTTTTCCATTTGCTGCACATTATTATTATTACTATCATTATCATTACTATTACCATCTGCACACGACCCCAACATCACGATCACCTAAAACCTGACGCTGCCTTCCCTCTGTGATCGCCTAAAATAATGTTCTCATAACTGCCAATACCGATGCATTAAACCAAATTAAACGATTTTATTAATCTACTTGAATAACTATCATTCTATATATAATAAACAAAATAAATACTATATAATAAAAAAACATCATTGATAATAAATATCATTTGATATATATATATACATACATAAGAAAGGTATCATTTAATAGAGGCTTCTCATACGAGCCTTCATTTGAACTGTTTAATAACATAATTACCACTACTAACTTCTCTATTTTCATTTTCATACAAGTAATTATAACGTTAAACATAATAAACATACAGAACATCGCTGCACAAGAACATAAAACATAATACTATTACATATCTAAATACAATACAAATACAAATCAGTATCACATCATCAAAAAATATCGCATATCCAACCTAAATCAATAATCAATCTTATACCTCGAGTATCACCGACACAATACGTTACTATTATTATTATTACTATTACTATTAGCATTAGTAGTAAAGTAACCGAAAGCACCTTCCAACTAAACCTATTTTAACTATTTCTATCGGATACTTCATAACGTTATGCCTCATTCACTAATCATCGAAGTATCCTGTAATAATCCTACAGTAATCCCCCAATGTAATAATAATAATAATAATAATAATGTAACAACAAATAAAAGAGCAGAATCATAATAATATCTTAGATCATAGACAGTAAAATATTCAGCTACTCAACAAACATCAAAGAAACACTGCTCAAAACACTCGTAACCTACCTTTCAATAATATCATTAATAATAACGTTAACTCTGCTGCATCATGGCCTCGGTGGGAGTGGTTCGGTTCGAAGAGGATGCAGAGGTGTGGTGAAGCGCAGTGACCGCCGGCTGTTCGTCCACCACCATGCTCACGTTCTGCAGCAACGACTCACGTCCCCTCTCGTCCGCCTCCATGATCTCCTTTATGTACGCACCCATATCGAACTGCTCTCGCTTGGCCTTCTCCACGAACGGATGCCTCAGCAATTCCGGATATTTTGGTCGTCGATTGTAGTCTTTTGTTAAGCTACAACTCGTTAAAGGCTAATTATCATCTTCTACTGAATCTATTTTGCGTTCCAATTCAATCGAATCCACATTCAAAAGATCCGATCGATCTCGTCGAATCGGCTTCATCGACCGGTCCGATCGGTCTCGTCGAATCGACTTTCATCGAAAACCCACCAAAATTAAAAACAAACCAGTTCGATACGAAATCCTGAAATTCCGTCGAATAATTCAATGTGCTCGACAACTGTGGCGCTGGTTCTCGTACCACTTGTTTCAGCTGTTCAAATGGTGTTTTCCATTTGGCGTATGGATGTGAACCGGATGCGATCTCCACCTTTAAAAGTAACCATATTAATAATAATAATAATCACAACAACAACAACAATAATAATAATAACAATAAATAACCATCGCACCAACGTTATGCCTAAACTCCACACATCAGCTCGCACATCGTACGCCACCTTCTTCTCACCCTCTATTCGTTCCGGGGGCATGTACGGCTTACAACCAGCGTTCACTGTTTTCGCCACCTTCAATTCAACAAACTAAATAACAACAACACAAGCAATAAACAAATAAATAACAAAATCTAACCGAGTTTGTTAAATGTCCCGAAATGCCAAAGTCACAAATTTTCACTGCACCCTGTTTGTTCAGTAGAATATTCGATGGCTTCACATCACGATGTATCAGCTTCATTTCCTCTTTCATAAAGTTCAATCCTTCTACCACCTGAATAATGCACTAATCATAAACGATTCCCTCCTCAACCCTAAAGCAAAATGCCAACCCAAAACCACTAAAGCATACCGCAAGAGCGCATTTTGCGATGAACATCTCCGATAAAAGTTTCTTCGAATCGATTGTCATACGATAAAACTTATCCAATGATGTGTCCATCACCTCCATACAAATCCACACATCACCTTCTCTAAACATCGCACCGTAAAATCGAACCATCTATAAAAATTACTCTCATTAATAGTAATAACAATAAAGAATAATGAATTACAACCTGCGGACAACAATCGCTCTTCATACACGCATGTAATTCCACCAACATTCTTTTCTGCATCTCATCGTTTATCGACGAATGAATTCGCTGTAATCACTAAGACTTTATACCACACAAAAGATGATCAGCAATGAATAAGACACACCTTAACAGCCATTATGATCTCCGTACCACTCAACCTCATCTTCTCGACCACGCCATACGCGCCCCTTCCTAACTCTTCAATCTTCTCCAAATCTTGTGCACGCACTTCAATTTCGTCACTCTGATCATCGAATCTACAATAAATCAATTGCTCAGATCAATTCCTCACAGAACCATTCAATATTCACTAACCGCATTAAACACTTATCATCCAAGTTCAGATTTGGTGGACTTTCGGGTTTTGGCATTTTTAATGGACCCAATTTCTTACCTGCAACAAAAAACATAATTTCAGAGTAATATCAAAGCAAGAAACAAACTGCTCATATGACCGACACACACTCATAATAAATTGAACAACTGTGAGCTGAGCTGCTCATCGAATGAACTAAAAAAGAAGAGAGAACGTACCTGCTAAACGCGACATTTTTGACTGAATTCGATTTGAATCAATCGTTGAGTTAATAATATCGAATGCACAACACAAAAATATACAGTGATTACTCAAAACAACACCAGTAATAATATATTATTAATAGCAGCACTAGGAGTAATAATAAGAGTAGATGATAATAGTACAAAGTGTTTAAATATGGACAACCGAAACAATCGTTGTTGAGTATTGAAAATTCAGATTAGTACACACTTAATCGGCACTGTTCACGTGAAATGGCAATATGAATGAATCAAGTTGGATTGCTCGTGTCTTAGTCTCGAATACGAGCTCACAGAAGAAAGAGCAACAGAATCCAAAGCAACACGAAGAATAGAATGCGAAGTGGTAACTGATAAAGCCGATAGGCTCGTCGTTAAAAGCGCTATGAATATGGCAGCTGTGACTAAACTGAGGATGATTACAGAAGCTGTTGCAGTGATAAAAATGAGCCAAACTGAAATAATAATCAAAAGAGTTTGTGAATGAGGTGATAGAGCAGCAGTCAGCAAATGAAACAACAATAGATTTAAGCGTTGACCCTCTTCTGGCATGGAATCCTTACACGTACACGACGATGCTTACAAACACTTCAAATGATTCGTGTCGTCGGATGGCAATCTTCAAATGACCCGTTCTTCGATCAATTATCTACATGCGTCCGGTTGTTAATTGAGAGTATTGTTGAGCCGCCGTTCGATTATTATTATTCACAAATCAATGAGCAGTCATTTGATTTGGTTTTGGTGTGTGTAATGCTGACAATGAATTACAATTTGTAATCTTCACTAGTTATTATTATTATCACTTGATCTCGTGCAACAATCACACTCCACTACATAGAGCGCCTGAAATTCGGAGGTGTATTTAGGGAGGAACACGGACATTTTAAGAACATTCAAGGCACGCACACGAAACGATTATATACACACCTGCGCTGATTAATTGATGACGATTAATTTTGCGAATTAACGCCTTCTCCTATGCCCTGAAACACTTGCGGGGACCGTTTTTACGTGAAAAAATTGAAAGCAAGACAATATCGCACGCATGCTCGCAGGCCTTACAATCCGTTTGTCAAAGCAACCAACGAGCATGGCATATTTCGCCGCAGTCTGTCGCTCGCATCACACCAAGAGGGAGGAGCGTAGCTCTCCGTGCTCATTACAAGACGACGACATTCGCAAGTGATGAATACATTTAAAAATCTCTATCATACGCGCATCATGCACCAATCCACCGACCTGTTATCATCTCAAACAAAAAAAAACTCTAATGATCTGAGCTGTGAATACGTTCAACAAAAATTCTTCACATCCATCCATCCGTATGACTCATTAATTAGTAGGTGTTCATTTCCTTGTTTGTGTGCAACACTGAACACGACCAACACAAACCACAACCACGCAACATTATTTCAAACCTCACTATCTTCCGTACCGGTCGGCTAATTTTGTATTATATCGTTTCGCCGACGATTCCACCCAAACTCTTTCGATTGATCAATTCAATAACTCTCGTCATCTATGAGCACTACCGACCGTCTCAATCAATTTGCTTAAGGCATTCGCGAATTTCAAAACAAAGAAAATCTGTCGAGCTCTAATAATCTCCACCGCCCAGCAGAAGGCCGCTCGCATCTAGACAGAAAACGAAGAAACAATTTGGAAAGATGCCAAAAACTAATATTTGGCGTTTGATCCAAATGCAGATTTGGCATTCATCCAAACACTCTGAACTATCATTTCAGTGAAACGTCGCCATTGTCACGACGACAACACCGTCCCAATACGGCACTATCAGATAAAAAAATGGATGAAAGGGTATATCAGTGAATAAAACAAAATCAACTCAGTCACACCAAACTACAAGTCAAAGTCAAATACAAGTCAACTTTATGAGCAACGAAACATCTTCGCGCAAACGATACCATACACAACCCTTCGTATCATCAATCCGTCATGCAAAAATTCAACGTGTGAAACTGATGAAATTAATCAAATTCTAAAATCAATAACATTGAGCATTTGAAAAGAGTTGACCACTGATCCATCAACTTATCGAATTGCAAATATGAGGCAGCACATTACACGCATACGTATATACAGATATGTATAAAACAATCCAGGTGAACCAGGTACATAACAAGATTAATTGATGATTGATCAATGAGGAGAGACGTTCAACGACGAATATACAATGTGGAAAGTACTCTAACATAAGTAAAAACAGCGGGCAGTTACTCGGAATTAATTTCTGAGCGGAACGATAGGATCGGATCGTTCAGTAACTTTCTTGATGAGCACAATTGGTTGCGTCTTAGGCTTGAGCTTGAGCTTGCTGCTGCTGCTGGCTGACTCAAGCTGAGGTAGTAAGTAAAGCGTTGCAGTGGTCAGCTTGAACTGGACGTGAATGCAAGAATATTGGGTATACGTCGTTGTAAGTAGTCACTCATTTCGGGTGTGATCGCTCTCAGGATCATTTGCTCTGCAGTGATCGCGGTTTGTGTGAATGAATCACATAGAGCAGAACCTGATCTCTCATCCACATCAGTCAGATCCTTCGTGCGTTCTTCGGTTTGTTTCTTTGCACTGTCCTCCGTAAACGACCAATTTTGAGCACGTAAATTACCATTTCCCGTACGACAAGCCTCTACATAAACCTGAACTTAAACTATTTCTAAACTCAATTTTTTGACTACAACCATAAATTGGCCAATCATTTTGACTATGAATTGACGTATCAGTAAACGAAATCTAACCAGATCTCCCACAGAAATCACTTCATCAAGACCTTCCGCATCCAAGTTATCATTATTTCCACCCGACCAAGTCAGCACTGGACACGTGATCACTTCAGAAAGGCAGTTGTGAGCATACGCAATACTTTTCGATACGTAGTACACGATTGCATTTCCTTCAAATATCTTATCTATAGACTTGTCAATCAAATAAATGCCTACGAACAAACATACCTTTATGACTACTGACTGAATCAGTTGAATGATCTGTGGCTAGCATTTTAACTCTTGCCTTGTTACTATCATTAATAATTTCGTCTCGATTAAGAGAATGAGCATCGTATTCACAACCGTTAATACTCTCTTCTTTTACTGCAATGATCCCATCCTTGCTTTCATTGCAATTATAAGTATCCTTCTCACTGTGCAACTCTGAATAAACGAATCTATACAATAATAACGATAGTATTTTTATTATTAACGAACACATAACAATATTCGGGCGCTCTGCATAAAAAATAAAATCATTTGCATATTTATTACATCGTTATCTTTGCTTTTTAAGTTGCAGCGCTTCATTTTTATTTTCATTTCCTTACAGTTTATTTTTTATGTAAGTTTTAAGAAAATAAGGATAAATGAGGATATCACGATATGACTTCTTAGTAATGAAATGAAAAATAACGATAGAGAATATGCAAATAAATGAATATCTAACGATAAGTATTACCTTCTTCTGCGGTGTACACTTGTTGTTTTAGGTGTTCGTTATAATTATTCTCATTTGCAAGGTTATTATATTCCTCACAAACAATCAAATTGGCATACTCGTTCGCGGTAATCTCCTAAATAAATGACAACAATAATAATAATAAAAACAATAAATTATGACAACTCAAACCTACATTGTTCTCTGGATGTTCATTGTCTGTTGAAGCGTTCGTATCGGATGACGTAGAAGACGGGTTTGCTGATGACTGAATCCAATTAGAGCATCCAGAAATACTTTGCGAAGGCTGGAAATCTGGCTCTGAATCGAGCTTAAGCTCGATGCCAGTCTCAAGTTCGGATCCACATCCAGAGCCGGATTCAGAGCCACACTCACATCCAATACAATTTGCACATTCAACTGATTCAGGTTCAGCCGATACTGCAGCTTTGCCCAATAATGATTGCTTGGACTGATCACTGATCACCAATAGCATTTCGTTGTGGGCACCCTTACGGCTGGTTGTGGCTTCAACCTGACTTGCCCCGTGCGCACCTTCTGCTTGTGTGCCGTCCTCATGCTGCACCTGTCTCGAGCCGAATGCCTTCGATTGGCCCGGTTCTTCGACCATATTAATCGAAACTAATCACAACTATTAGCACTCATCCACATCAATCATGCAACATGATCACTCAACGCAAAAACGCTGAAACGACGTGAATTTTAAAGTTGCATTTACTACAGACTGGATGCTGCTTGACATCCAAGCCTCGTCTACTCCCACACCGTCGAATCAGTTGCGTATTCGATGAAACCGTCGAAACCGTCGAATCGATCGCCGATTCCACCGCAACACCAAAACCGCCAAATATTTTGGCGATTCGACCATACTGTCGCGTGCCTTCAAACCACTCGAATCAATTGCGTTTGATGAACAGATATTTATACTTATGTATAATTTATACAAACATTTCATTTCGTATTCAATAAATAACCCCGCAATCGATCCATATCAAAATTCATTACTTGCACGCAACTGCAATAATCGAATATGAAATGATATCAGTGAACACTCTACTAGATCATAGACCAGATCATAGAAATACGTTCAAAATGTGAATATCATCAGTTCATAATAAAACAATTATAACAATAATAATAATAATAACAATAATACATTAATAATAACAATGACAACAGTAAAAGTACAATAACACTTCACTTCGTAGATAATAAATATTGAATAAAATAAAACAAAACCACTGTCACGCACACCTGTCATAATTTTTCAACTTACTACTATTATAATTCCTTACTATTACTATTATTATTGTCATTATTATTATTATTATTATAAGAAGATATATTCGTAACTCGGATGAGAACTGGCACAGAGAAGTCACGAACTACAATAAATTGTAACTGAATTAAAATTTGAAACAATGCCTATGAAAAGCAGAAAATAAAATATATGATAATAAACATTATTGATAGTGTATGAGGTAACATAATTACAAAGAAAACCACTTGAGTTTGTCACTAAAACGATTAATACTTTCCTTGTGATAAAACTAGCAAAGAGACTGATAAAAAGCAACAGAACACAATCACTAGAAGGCTAAATGAGACCAATTAAAGTGAATCATGCACAGTCTTCACCACTCCCTCCACCATGCTATGAAAGGCACTGTCCATTGGACACGGTGACGTTAGACGATGCATCGCCATTTGACTTATGCCGTAGTAATGCACGAATGCTGCTGCCACCACACACACATGGAACAACTGATGTGATTGGAACTAAATTATATTATGTCATCATTAATAGTATTGACGATTGTCAGATCCTTCTCATAAAATAACAAATACCCACAAGTTACCCAAACCAAACAAAGACTTACTTACCCAAATATCGCACTTCCCCGGGAAAAAACGTTCCGGCGTGCGGGTGGCATACAGAACTGCACCAACAATATAGAGCGTAGCCATTAATAGGAGCCAGTGAAATGCTGCCTCAGCGAACAGCGGCTTTAAACCGTCAGTTATCATAAAATGAATCGTCGGTATCACTCCTTAAAATCCTTCATTTTTTACCAACCTTTTATTAAAATAATAATAATAAAAATAATAATAATAACAATAATAATAAGCAAACAAAATCACCAACCACTCAGCCCCATCGCTACGAATACACCAGCCCTGAGCGGTCTGAATCTCGACTCGCTAAACTTATCCCACAACGAGACCACCACCCCTCCAGAACCCAGCACACTCACCATCGCTATATACGTGATTTTTGGTTCACGTCGACAATAAAACCCATAATACACCCACGGAATGAACGAACCGATAATCAACAGTGATATACCCATATAATCCAGTCTGAATTCAACACATTAATAAGCAAAGCACAAAGCAATAATAATAATAATAAACTAACTTGCAGAAGATGCGCACCACAGCAACCGAATGACAACACACCGTATGAAAGGCGAACGATGCCCCTAAGCACAGAATCGCACCCGCAAAAAAGAACGAAAACACGATCTTCTCTTGAAATTTGATGTGCGTGTCGGGTCGTGTCAAGAACCATGTGGCCAACAACGCGAACGCAACACATCCTTGAACATTTCTTCATTAGTCAAAATTATTGCCATGCAATGGAGACTAGTCGTCATCCAAGATCACTGATCCAAGTTATAATCCGATCAAGACACATCAATCGATCAATCAATTGATCGTTAATACCTCAGCTACGCGCCACGACCGATGTCATACAAGCAACACTGTCATACTGGTGTGATAACACAAAGGCAACCCTAAATAATAATAATAAAAATAATACTACCCACCAATCAGGTGTGTCCAAATATTGCCCGTTTCAGTGTGCAACGAGAGAATGCTCCTGAAGCACTCAGCAAAGCTCGGCAAAGGAGGTCGATGTCCATGTCTCAAATACTCATTATCCTGTAACCACCCCGGCAGATATTCGTACTTCTGTACTCGCCATTTCGCCTCCCAAGTCTTCTTCACCAGATGTTCGCCCTCTTCATCAACACACATATGCTCCACTTTCACCTATTATATCAATAATTGTCTTATCAAAATCTTATTCAAAACCATATCTACGCACTTCATCTTATTGATATATCATCACAAAATCCTTCATATCCACTAAATTCTTATATATCATGCTTCATATATCATATCTACTAAACTCATATCACACTTTTCACGATAATAATAAAAACAAACCTCGAGTTCAGCATCATCCTCCGATCCCGCATCTCCGGCAGAAGGTCTCCAGCTATCGCCACGTTTTCGACGGTATTTCACGGTAGTATTCTTAGTGGCTGGCTGATGCTGTTGCTGAATGGATTCATCGTAACTACTCGTTCTTCGATGAGTGTGTTTACAGCAAGTGTGATGAGGCTGGCGTTGCTGGGCTGGTGTGATCGCTTGAGAGTAGGTGTTCGTTCGTGAACGTGAAAAGCGATGGTATAACTCGGCTGGCGCTTCCACTATTCCATAGAACGGTGATTTTGCTGTAAAAAATAATTAATTTCAAGTCATCGGATTTGCTGCTTTTGCTTCACAACACAAAGCATCACCCATAACACAAACCCACCCGAAATTAAAGCCGTCCTCTCGTGCTCTTCCTCTTCATCATCGGTATTTGGCTGTGATGTCACTGTACTTCTACTCACCAACACTTCTATCGGATCACAATAACTTCCCACTTTCAGCACCTAAAATACATCTTCTCACATATATTCATTCCATTTAAGACGGTAAATGCAGCTTCGCTCTTAGATGACTGATACATTGAATAATAACAAAATACAACCTGAACAGTCGTTGACTCTTCTAAGACCTTCTCGAAGGGATTCTCACGTGCACGTCCTTCGGTCAATATTTGACGAGCCTCTTGCAACGCCTCGTTCGCATCCCCAATACCATCACTATCACTGCCTTTCTGTGTTTCGTCCTCATCTGATTCCTTCTCATCAAATTCTTCATTCAAGAAGTACTCCTCATCCTCTTCATCTTTTGCACCAATCACTTCACCTGCAACTAATTATAAATCATTTCAATGATCTACACAAGCACCAGCACTAGCATCAGCCATTTTTATTCTGCTTCGTAGGATTTTCAATGTTAACTAGCTAATGCGTACATCTTATAAAACCTAGTAGAGGTTACTGAAGTTGGCCTTGAAACCTGAATGTGATCGATCAGAGGAACGAATACAAAAATAAACACCTGCAAAACTCTACATTTCTTTTAGTCATAATCGTCTCAACTAAACAAAAATCACATTTATCTGCAATATTATCAACATTTTCCACGTTATCAACAGCTCTATCAGCCGTCTTCTCATTCTTATCAATCTTCTTATCTAATATATGACATTTTTTTGAAACAAATAACTTCAACTTCATCGTAAACTCTGTATGAATCTCTTAGCCATACGGGGGTCTAGCTGCAAGCACTTGATTACGGGGGTGAGAAGGGTAAATACACAGCAGCCTATGTTCCAGGTTAATTTCTAAACTGAACTGACACGGATGTATACACCTGAGCTAGGTGACTGAGTAGTATTTCATTAGAAGATCAAGACGTAGTAATTATCATACCGGTAGCACGATCGGTCTGCGGTAAATCCGAAGACACTGCCGATGACTTGGATGCAGCATTCGATGCTGATGACACAACATTTGTTTCACCGTTGCTGTTCGAATTTGCATCAGTAGTATTGTTAATATTGTCCATTGCCGGTTCTTATTTTTTGTTTTTTTGATTTTTGATTGATGAATTAATTGATGTCTTCTTGTGTCAGAAAGAATAAATCTTCAGGTTCTTTCCCGTCCGATTGCGACAGAAAATAATTCACACCAAGTTTATTTTTCTGTTTCGATAGTCGTTCGTAGAAATAAATTTATTTATATTTTCTTCTCTTTTTTTGGAATTTTCAACACCTAAAATTGAGATTACTTACGGAAGCATTCGAATGCATTTGCTTCACAACACAACCCGACCGAACACGCTCAATCTACTCATCTATACGCATTGAATATCAAATTGATAACAATATCAATGATAATGACGGCGATACATCGGAGGGCAATAATCACATTAACACGGCAATAATCATAAACTGAAAACGATCTGCAAACTTTGCTTATTCATAAATTTATCTGAACGATAAGCAGCACTAGATCGGTACTCACAAACCAACGTGCCTACCTCAACCGCTACTAATAATAACAGTAACAATAGTAATAATAATTATGCTCTCTTATGCTCGTCGTTCATTTTTAAACGATTCAGATGATCATATAAGATTGCACATCGTTTAAAACTTTCAATCACTTCAAATAGGAAAACGCCGTCATCTTATCCGCTGCTGTCACATTGCCTACTTATCCGCCTATCCCTGGATAAGTGAATGCATAGAGAGTAGCACTGCTTAAGATACCAATATAAATTATAATAATAACAAAAACAAAAAAAAAACCAATGCAATGTTGAAATATCACGTGAGTCACCTTATGACTCGCCGTTGCCTTGAACGTGACCGGCACACTCAACCAGACACGACAGCAACAGCAAAACTCTCCTTCCGCCTCACTCACTGCCGTTCGTAATTTCGAAATGTACACCACACAGCACATATACTTCTTTACTATATACTCATATGCCATCACACACTCCATATAAATAACTGTATATCCATCCATCCTTCCAGCAATCTCGAGGGCATCTATCGATCCTTAATCACATCTCAAACCATAGAACAATCTTAACCCCGCCGTCTATCACTCATCACTATCATTGTTTATGGATAATATCATACGACGGCATACCTATGATATCATATAATTTATAATACAATAACAAATGTGTATTATGTCATTCCCGCCGTACAAATGGGGTACCAAACATTCATCAGCAGGGTATATGTCAAAAAATAATTCTGCTTTAACTAAGCATCATCCAAACGCAACTTATCATCAGTCAAATCACTTCAACTGAAAGCAAAGCGTAAGTCGTATATAACATAATTTAATCAAGCGAAACAGTAGAGCTGATCTAGTCCAATGCAGAACTAACTAAAACTCAGATTGTCGTCTATCGAATTCTTTGTTCAAAACTGGAATGGCTCAAGAACGATCATGCTGTGCGCCTTCGCTATCGTATGATCATGATTATGCTATCTTATCAACTAACATTTCAGCCGTCTCACTACACTTATGCCATATAGCTATCGTAATTATTATTACTATTATGATGCTGAACCTTTACCAACTCTAAATTATGAATGAATAGTATGTAGTGACGAGAGTACACTCGTCAAAATCGGAATCGAATCGAATACCTCATCAAATGGCGTGATTTTGTGTCTGTCGAAACAAGTCTCTTGAAGAAATCATAGCAAACATTTCAATGTTACATTTTAACTGAAAAAAAGTATTCATCATGTTGTTGTGAAACAAACAAAAGTGTCACATAACTCATGATCAAGTTTCAATTCTATCAGTGATTAAGTTTTGATCATACAATAATAATAATAATAACAGTAACTCATACTTGCTCTAATACTCATACTCATACAAATAATACTGATAATAACAATAACAGTAATAATAATAATGCTAAATATTTTTATTGAGCATACACTGCGTAAAAAGTGATGCAGATAATAAAGTAAAACAACACAAGCAACATCAACTCAGTAAACAATGTACAGTGCACAGGACAAAGTCCGTGCATGCATCGTTATCACAGCCAATAACGATTGTGGTATGTGGCTGATAAGAGCGATGTTGACAGCATTCAAGTTTATACTTCTGTAAACAATATAAAAACGAACAACACAAAACAAATGTTATCGATATTTTCACAATAAATAAATTCACATGAAAAACGTTTTGTTCCACAACTAACAAATTTTTAACAACAATACAAAACTAATGCAGTATCATTCTCAACACTAAATTCTTCATAAATTCAAATAAATAACTCAATGCAGAAGGCAAATACCACAAGAATAACTTCAACTATAAGAATAAATAAAAGAAAAGAACAATGAAATTCATAGCTAATCTTTTATATACAACGTTAAATGTTAAACACCAAACATCTGAAAAATAGATAGATAGATATCTGCGAGCAAAGTTCAAAATAAAGTTTAACAATTCAAATAGATTTATGATAAGAGAGAGCAGGAAGTTGTTTAGTGCCATTTCAAACATCATTTCAAACACCGTCCTCACGTCACTTCTTTACTCTTCCTGACGATCTATCAACACGAACTTCACTTCAAATTCAAGCCGTTACTCCCGCCGATCAACCACCACACGTTTATCTATCCATCACAAACAGATAATAACAAGCCAGTAGCCTCTATATTTAAGGCAGACCACCCACCAAGAAGGTCTGTTTAAAACAATAAAATTTATGGATCACATCACACTTTAAGCAGGCAGTGTAAATCGTAATTAAAATTAACAAATGAAAGTATTCTATGAAATTATAAGAAACAAAACGAGCACAATGTGAATAATAATGAGCACCATGTGAATGTAGAACACAGTTGATAAGCAGAAAGAGCAATTGAATTTGAATGGTATTTAAATTAATTCAATGAATAATCACGAATAGAACACAAACAAACTCAATAATGTGTCACTTTGATGGTAGCCAGATGTGAGCATGGATGGATGCACGGATGAATCCAAGTTAAGCAGCAGAGTGCAGGTAATTTGAATAAACCATTCACCTGCGGCACTACTACTTAGCTTGGTGTCAACCTTATTTATGGCTATTTCAAATGAAAGCATTCACATAAGCTGGCTATCTTAGTTGATCTCACCTCAAATGAATTTCCAATCGAAACAGAGCTCGTGAGCAAGAGCAAATGACTGAATGACTCAAGTGGAAATGATATTATGTGAGCATGATTGCATGAATAATGTTTCTCGATTGAGTGATGCCATATTAAGCAGTAGGGAACAGGTAAGTTCAAAGAAAACACGCTAATTTTACCTGCGGCTCTACTACTTAGCCTGATTTCACTCTTTGATCATTCATACTGATGCTTTCATGTAATATAAATGAATAGAACATCAGAAGACGGTTTCAGTCTTGTCCAACAATAATAATAATACTATTCAGACAGGTGATAGCAGCAATGCTCTCAGTAGCAATAATATAAGCACTGAAGTTGAGTAGCCGAACTGAATTGAACATGACGAACGCAATGAACAAATTGTGTATGCTTCATGAAAGTATATCTATCTGATTGGATAAGGCTATAATATAGACGACATATATCCATCCAACCAACTGAATCTACCTCGCAAAACCTATCATAATCCGTACACAAATGTAAATATTGTACACCTATGGAATAGCCAATATATTGACTTAACTGTATTTAGATTGAATGTGCTTTATCTGATTTTATTATCGTCATTGTGATGATGCATGCAGTCATCTATCAGGCATTAATATTTGCACAGCTAAGGGACTGTACATGCATGCTTACAAGTTAGATACTGCCATTCAAACGTATTGCGGCTTAGTGATCCATCCGCAAGGATAACATGCAATCGCTTCTATTGATCACATTAAATCGTTTCATTTTGTTCATAACTGACAGCGACCATGATAATAATAATAACAACAAGAAGGGGATATTACCAGGCACTAGATTCGAGCTTATACTGAGGTTGAGCTTCGTAACTGGATTCAGATATACATCTACGAAACGAATGCTGCAGCCGAATAAACTGTGTGCATGTCAAGCAAACTGTTTCGATGGTTTCGTGTGAGCCTGAGCCCGGATAATGCACATAACTGTAATAATATAGTGATGATTGATCGAGTTTTATTTGGATGGGTATCGAAATCAAACTAAAGTCGTGAAATTGGTAATGTGATGGCAGATCATTGTTGTGCTTGCTTGTTTATACACCTGCTGTTAAGGTTTAGTTCAAATACACCATTATTATTATTATCATTATTGTTATTATTATTATTATTATTATTATTAATACTATTGATGAAATTATTATATATGAACTGAACAACGAATATAATTTATGGAAAATATGTCAGTTTTAAGAAAAGGTACATTAAGGCTGGAAAAATGAGATTATCCGGAAATCCTTCAGTTATCCGGATGGATCATCTAGTGAAAGTAATGATAATGATAACACTTATAATATAACTGATCGTGAATAAATGCAAACGAACAAAACTTATTATGATAAGTAAGCAACTGTAACAACTAACACTGATGCAAATTTATTCGTTGTTATGACAGAAATTGAAATGATAAATGTGAAAATATTATTCAATTACTGACGAAATCAATTGTGAAATAATAATTATATGAATGAAGTGAACTGAGTCGAGAGCAAATACGTTCACTTCATCGCATCGAAATAACTGCAAAAATTCTGGCAGACTGAATCTCCGCACTGAATTATTTTGACCATTCCGCTTTACTTTTTTCTTTCTCCTGCAAAACGAACAGCTATCATTTTTTACTTACTCTCATTATTGTTATTAATAATTTTATCAGTTACCTCTTCAAGGGCGAATTTCTTGGTGTCAATATTCTTAAGATTCGTTCTGAAGTCAACTTTATTCTGATCCTTCTTCTTCAGCTTATCAAATCTACAACAGATTTGTAATCTTATTAATATTCTCATTATTACTGCAATAAACATTATAAATTATGTGCACACTATGCAATGAATATAAGACTGATTCGATCGCTTACAAGCAATTTACATACCTGCTGTCAGTCTTCGAGACCTTTTTAAGCGTTGGCTTCACACTGAAAAAGTTTAATTTTATGAAAGTAAACTTATAAAACTTCTAGGAAGATAAGAACGATGATTAAAACGATACAATTTGCCACGTAGATCGTTAACAGCAATCGTCAACTCGTTGATTTCGAAATCTTTCTGACGCACCGTATAATTGATATCGTAATGCTCACTTTCCAGTTCCATCAGTCTTGCGACCATATTTTTTGCGATTTGCTCAAGTTCATCTGTATGATATGAGGTGAGTGATAATTTGATATAATCATCGATATGATCATTTCATAATGACATCAGCTTTGATCAGTCAGTTCCGATGAAAACTAGCAAAATGACAGATCAAATTTATGAAAACTGCAACAGAAACACAAAGAAGCCTGCCTCGGATGATGATATGAAACGTTTAATTTGTTTAACTAGTCATTATTTGAGTGTTTTCACTTCAAATATGCACTAAAATTTTGCTTGTCTCTAATAGAATTTCGATGTAATTCCTTTCCTATCCCATCAATAAATATCAAATTTGATATGAGTGAGTTTTGCAATTATATGAGACCGACCATCTTCAGCCGTATCGAGATCGGGCAGTGGTATGATACGTTCTTGTAGAATGCGTTGTCGTTCTTGTTCACGTAGCATTTGCTGTTGTTTCAAATCCTCAGCTGCTTTCATCATCAGCAGTTTCTTAATAAGCAAACATGCATTCAGTTGCAGTTCAATCAAACATTAACTCGTCAGCAATGAGCTGATTGATACATTTCAGGTATTCGATCTCGATTTGGGATTGAAAGGAATTGCTCATTCGATGCCGACGGACTCGTCGAGTTGCACATTTCAGATTTATTTCTGTCTGGAAACGGGGGGAAGGGGACTAGAATAGGGTGGTACAAGAGATATATCAAGAAAAGATGATCGCGCATTGAATTTCATAATGCCAATCTAGCAGCTGTGTAAGTTTCTGACGATAACAACTTACACGAAGTTTCTTCTTACGTTCTGGTGTCAGGAAACCTTTTTTAGCCTTTTTAGCACGGCCAGCTTCCTCCAAACGACGTCGTACTTCAGCCTTCTTACGCTCACGTTCAGCTGCTGCTTTTTTGGTCTGTATAACGAGTTATATGAGTAGTCAGAATTATTCTTCTTCTCATTCCTCTTGATGAGTTCTAATCAAAATTTTATCAAGTTTCGATTCGTGCTTCAATACAAGCAACAACTAACATCAGCATCGTCCTCTTCTTCGCCTTGTGCACCACCAGACAGTTCTCGTCTCAGAATCTCTGTTGCCTCAGGACACAAATCTTCGTCGATTGCTCGAGAATCGTCCAAGCCATTGCTCTTATAGTCATTTTCGTACTCCTCAAAACCACACTCGAAATCCATCGCCACTGCAACCACGTCTATTCGTTCATTTTTATCGAATCGCTATTTTGATAAAGCGTCGAATAAATATTTGCAACATTCCATTATAATACTCAATACAAAGTGATCTATATGCAAAATGAATATACATTATAGAAAAAGTACTCATTAAAGTAAAACTCAATTAATTCATTACAAAATCATTCGCAACACGGATCTGTCGTACAGAAGAAGTTTCGAACATAGTTTTATGAACAATGAAAACTTTCTGCTGAAATCTTATGATATTAACTAAGCGAATGTTAACTAATCAATGACTGACTGATTCAAGAAGGAGATATATTTAAAGTGAGCAGCAGTTGAAGCTGGAGTTGAACTAGTTACGATAGTATAACACAATGAAGGATATGAGTGAGTTTTATTTCATTGAGAAGATATATGTAAGGTGGATGGATAACTGGTTTTCTGGATAAAGGATATGATGCGTGCGTTTGTCAATACAGATCTTGAGTACTCGTAAGAAGAGGACATAGCTAAGAGGGTAAACTTTGATCGATTTTTTTGAATGCTGCTGTTGATCGTACATTAGAGGTATTCTTCAATTAGCATTCCATTTTGTAGTTTTAGCAGTGGGCTTAAGAAAGGATGACAAGAGTTGTTGAACAATTCACGGGAAGAAACTGCTGTGAATAGAGCAAAACCGATCAACTGAATGCACTGGAAAAGTTTCGATAGCACTACACTGCTACAGGAAAATCACTAATACTTCATTCGAGGGACCTCAGTCCTCAGTTTTGCCCAGTAACAATGTGATTTCTTAGTATCACTGCAAAGCTGATGTTCTCTGCTATCAGAAAAGTATATATGCTATTGAAGGATTTTGCTTACTTTCAGAGATATAACTAAATTTCCGAACGAATGTTAAAAAACGAATTCATTATTTTCGTTCCATTTCGTTGTATTCAATTCACTACTGATGTCATTTGGGATGGTAATGAAGTATTGTTGGATTCGTTATTATTGCATTCGGTAGTATTATTTATTGTGAATATCATTTAGAACACTCATTAATTAATGGTATTAATTNCTCAATTTACGCCACCCCGCTGGCTAGGCGAGCAGGCCAACTGAACACAACCGTGTAAATGATTAGTCGCCGTGAATACTTTGTATAATTAAGCGCAGTCAAATACGAATTCAATATCGGCTCCAATGCCCATTCGTAAACACCGACAAGCATCGCATATCG